TTCTAGACTACAGATGTGTACAGCATGTTAGTGTACTGAATAGGCAATTGTAACACAGTGGTATTTGTATATTTAAACACAGAAAAGGCACAGTAAAAAATACAGTATCTATGGGACCACTGTTGTATATGCAGTTTGTTCTTGACTGACATGTCATTATGCTGCACATGACTACATAAGGAACTCAGACAATGCGATAATAAGAAAACAACCCAATTTTTAAAATGGGCAAAGGATCTGAATAGACGTTTCTCAAAAGAAGACATACACATGTCTAGCAGGTATTTGAAAAGGTGCTCAACATCACTAATCATCAGGGCAATGCAAATCAAAACCACCATAATCTATCATCTCATACCTGTTAGAATAGCTATTATCAAAAAGGCAAAAGGTAACTAACAAGTATTGGTAAGGATATGGAGAAAAGGGAACTGTTATACAGTGTTGATGGGAATGTAAATTGGTACAGTCATGGAAAACAGCACAGAGATTCCCCCAAAAATAATAATAGGAAAATTACATGATCCCGCAATCCCATTTCTAAGTATATATCCAGAGAAATTGAAATTGACTCCTACATTCATTTTAGCATTATTCACAGTGGCCAAGATATGGAATCAACCCAAATGTTCATTAGCAGATGAATGGATAAAGAAAATGTGGTTTATATACACGATGGAATACTATCCAGCCTTACATTTATAACAGCATGGGTGAATTTGGAGCTCATTATTCTCAGTGAAATAAGCAAGATACAAAAAGACAAATACTACTGCACAATTTCACTTATCTTTGCAATCTTAACAGGTTGAACTCATAGAAGCAAAAAAGTAGAAGTATCATTGCTGAGGGGCAGGGGAAATGTGGAAATGTTGGGTCAGTGGGTACAAAGTTTCGGTTTTATGGAACAGGGGTCTCCAAACCCTGGCTGCTGACCAGTAACGGTCCGTGGCCTGTTAGGAACTGGGTTACACAGGAGATGAGTGGCAGGCAAGTGAGCATTACCACGTGAGCTCCACCCCCTGTCACATCAGCAGCAGCATTAGATTCTCATAGGTGCATGAACTCTATCATGAGCTCTGCATGTGAAGGATCTAGGTTGTGTGCTCCTTATGAGAACCTAATGCCTGATGATCTGAGGTGAACAGTTTCATCCCTGAACCATTCCCCATCCGTGTTCATGGAAAAATTGTCTTCCACAAAACTGGTCCCTGGTGCCAAAAAGATTAGGGATCACTAATGGAGAGAGAATAAGTTCTGGAGATCTATTGTACTGCGTGATGACTATAGTTGGCTGTAGTTAATAAGACTATATTATATGCTTGAACAACTCTTGTAAGGGAGAAGATCTTTTTTTTTTTTTTTTTTTAATGGAGTCTCGCTCTATCACCCAGGCTGTAGTGCAGTGATGCAATCTTGGCTCACTGCAGTCTCCACCTCCCAGGCTCAAGCGATTCTCCTGCCTCAGCCTCCCAAGTAGCTGGGATTACAGGCACCCCCCACCACACCCAGCTAATTTTTGTATTTTTAGTAGAGACGGTGTTTTGCCTTGTTGGCCAGGCTGATATTAAACTCCTGACCTCAAGTGATCCCACCTGCCTTGTAATCCCAAAGTACTGGGATTACAAGCTTGAGCCAAGATGTCTGGCCTAAGAGAGTGAATCTTAAATGTTCTTACCATATACTAACACATACATAAGAAGTAACTAACTTGTAGATGATGAATATGTTAATTAGCTTCATAGCTTGATAATTTCATAATATATAGGTGTATTAAAACATGTGTACCTCAAGTATATACAATTTAAATTTGTCAGTTATACCCCAGTACTGCTGGTGGGAAATTGGCTATAAAATTTGTATGGAAATTTAAAGGTTCAGGAATAATTGAAGAAGTCAGTGGGAGTTGGGGACATAAGCACTTGCCCTGACAGATGTCAAGGTATACTATATTATTTGGACAGTGTATAATTCCTGCAGGTTTAGACATATCTACCAATGAAACAGAATGAAGAACCCAGAAATACCTCCTTGTTTTTATAGAACTCTGATATCTGTATGACAGTGATGGCATTGTAAGTTGGCGAAGAAGTGAGGGACTGTTTATTAATTGGAGCTGCAAATTGTTCACCAGTTTGGGGGAAAAATGAAATCAAGCCCTTACACCATTTACAAAAATCCTTGTGAGATGGCTACTTAAGGACTTAAATGTGAAATGAAAAGAAGGAAAAATATATGTGAATATCTCTCGTTTAGCATAAATAGATTTCTGGCTTGGGATAAGTAAGGATTTTTTAGATAAGATACATAAAGCTCAAACAGTGAAAGAAAAGATAATAAATTTTGTCATGTTAAAGTAAAAATTTCTGTTCATCAAAAGGTATTTTAAAATTGAAAAGAGGATGCAGGAAGGGGGGAGATATGTGCAACAGTTGTCCAACTAGAATATGTCCAACACAAGAATTTGCATCCAGAATATATAAAGACCTCTAACAAAGCAAAAAGAAAAAAAAAGAAAAATTAGCAGTATGAAGATATTTTGTAGAGGAGAAGATACACCTGGAAGCAGTGAAAATGAGTGAACTACAGCTTCTTACAAATTCATGAATGAAGCCTTAATATCACAATGTTAGATGAACAAAGTAATTGCCAAAGACTAAAAATGAAATAAAAGTTAAAATGGAATAAAATTTGCCAAAATGAAATAAAATTTGAGGGGAGAACATTCAGACTAGTGGTTACTTGTTGTCTCTTAAAGGCAGTCAAGGCAATTGGATGGAAGATGATTTATGTGTATTCGTTATAAAGTTTAAACCAGTTTAACAAAGTCTTACCACGCTCTAATAATAATTGAGTATCACAAACAAAAGATATAATTAATCTGCACTCCAGGTCCAAGATAACATATTCATTTATGCAGATGCACACATTCGTACATGTTGTGTGAAATTACAAACCAAGGTGATGAGGAATAATCTGAGAGTTTGCTTCCTGGGGTGAATGACATGAGCAGGCATTCATCCAGGTTTTCTCCAAAACAGATTGTGGTGGTAAGGTGGTATCAGATATCTGGCCAGGAACATCTAGAATTCTGTGGCTCTCTTCTTTCATTAATACCAATAAAAGTGTGAAGAGCCTTGCCCCCAGTTGTCATGTTCTGGGAGCCAAGGACATACGGAGTTAGAACACTGTGAAGTATTTTGTTCCTCCCCTCCATTTCCATTTTTTTTGGTGGGGAAAATAAAGTGACTTCATAAAGATAACATTATAAATATCAAAAGAAGATTTGAAAAGGAAGAAATAAAAGACTTCACAGTTAATAGAGTTTCTGAACTATCAGGAAATACATATATTAATATCTGATTAGTTCTTTACATACACATTCTTCCTTTAGTCTTCTGGAAGCAAATCTCTCCTACCACAACCCGGATTGAATTCTGTTTATCTGATTATTGATTTTTTTATGAAAATTACAAAATCATGTTATTTTTTTATGTATTAGACCATATAGTTTGTTACAACTGTTTTGTGTTTCAGCTGTGACAAGATTAGTTACGAGGTCCAAATAAATCGTTTCTCCTGATATTGTACCAAAGTTTTTGAATGATTGACTTAGGGGAAGAAAAAAGAGCAAGTTTATCATTATCCTTATGTCACGTAACTATATTTTGCATATCCCAAATACTTTCTTAAGTGGGAAAGGGATGGTTAGATTTACAGGCAGCAAGCAAGCATTTTCACCTAATCTTGAGATTGCTAATCAGGTATCTTGAAAGAGGTACCCCTATTTTCAACCATGGAATATCCATCTAAAACATTAAAACAAAGGACCACTTAACATTGTATTTTAAGAGGGAGCAATACTGTTGAGACATTTTTCTAATAGAGATTATCTGAAGATAATCTGCATCTTTGAGCCTCTGAACAATAGGTCCCAACTGTACTACATATGATACTAGAAAGAGTAGTGGATTAGGTGTCAGAATACTCCTGTCTCCAGAACCAGACAATGAGACCCTGAAAAACAAGGACATACAGCTTTGTGAGTGAGTGGGTAACAGAGAGTATTAAATGCTGCAACTTGGTAACCTTGTGATCTCAGTCTCCTCATCTCTGAATTAATACTCACACTTTTCTGATTAATCTCATAGGAAAATTAGAGACTTATACAGGTGGAAGTGTTTTGCATGCTGTAAAACGACACCAATATTTTAATGTGAAATAAAGTGAAATCTTAATGTAGTAATGAAATAGAAACTTCGTATGTTTACAAAAAAAATATTTTTTCCAGTCTTTCAAATGATTTAAAAAACTATTTCCTGAACCTTTTAGTGAACACCATTGTGGGTCACTGGCTTTGCTTTTTTTTTTTTTTTTTTTTTTTTTAATTCCCCTTGTTTTTTTCCATTGATCTCAAAGGGCACTTACTACAAATCTGCCTCTCAAGCATCTTACAACAGTATCTTTTAGTTATGCTATATATGATGTAGCACTGATCAAAGAGAAGAAAATTTCAGAAGTCCAAAAATGTAAGGAATTACAGGATTTTACAGTTACTAGGACGAGCCATGACTAGATTTATCAAGAAAATTGTGTTAATTAAATTGTAAAATTTGGTGTTTATTTCTTAATGATTATGCAAGAATGATCCTTATCTTTGAGGTGGCAAGGGATAGTTCATTAAAATACTTGGACATTTGAGCTAAATATGAATGCATAATTTTCTAAAATTAGGAAGATAATTAATACAAATTGATTAATTTAAAATAGTTAACATGAAAATGTTATTTTATGTACATGCAAAGGATATCTTATAAATAATGAATTTGGATTATTAATAGGTGAAACTGATTTTGTTTATATACTATGAAGATATAATTAAAGAAGATAAAACTTTGAAATTAAAATCCGTATTCACAGTAAATACAACTTCAGTTCAGGTCTTTGCTACAACAAAATGAGATTTGTAAATAACTTAGGTTTTTCTGTTTGTTTTTTAGTTATTAAGTCGAAAAGACAAAACTACATTTGAAAAATTAGAATATGTAATGAGTAAAGAAGATAACTACAAAAGACTCAGAGAATATATAAGTAGCTTAAAGATGACACCTTGCATTCCCTATTTAGGTGAGTTATGTCACTGTGTATTTTTTGTTTCTAGTTGTTACTCTTCCTTAATCAGTAATTTATGTGAAATTCAAGGTATTTTTAATATGTTTGTATCCTTCAAATAAATTACTTCAAGATTGGTAAGCTGAAAAAATTTGACTAAAGGTAGTTGTTACCTTATTACCTGGAATGTATTTTCATATTAAATTAGCCTTTTGCCCTCAAGATTTTTCATAGACTATTATGTTTTCTTAGAGTAGGACCATATAGTAAAATGATATTTTTTTAACTGTTTTAGTAATGCTTTTAAAGAATATAATAGTTTGTAATTATGTTTAATACATTAAGGAAATGGATCAAAGTCCTTATATAATGAAGAGATATTTTAGTGTGAATTCCGAAGTAGTCTCATTGCATATTGGTATTGTTATTTACCTGGATGAAATGAGTTGATTTGCTGTGACAGTTTAGCTTCGTGCTGAGACAGTTCTGTATTTTACATATCATTTAACTAAGAATTTATCTCTTTATTATATATCTTATAGTGCTTATAAATTCAAGAAGTATTTAAATAATAACATTATAAGATTATTTTTGACAAAATATGAATAATGCTTTGTTAGGTGTTTGAATGAAAAGAAGATCCAAATTGTTCTTTTGAATACATAAGGAAAACATGTGATACATACCTACCATACATTAAAATGAATTGATTTGATCCTACGGAGAGAGTAAGCAAATGATGAACATTGGGTGCTTTCTGGTCCTTCCCCATCCCCCAGATTTGTGTTTTGTGAAACTACTCACACTGAATTTCAAGATAGCTTTTTCTGAGAGTTTTTCTGAGAGTGATTACAGTGTCACCTTGAAGTCTTTAGTCCCAGTGACTAGAAGACAAGGGACAAAGGCAGTTGATACATGCCGACTTAGCTACTATAGAACATTAACCTTAGTTGCCCAGAGAAGAGTTTAACTCATTTGATTATTGTGGGACATTCTAGGATTGCAGAGAATGGGGACCTATTGTGTACCTTGTGTTGAAGGCAGAATACCACTAAGCACAGTAGAGTTAATGGCCACTGCATCCCAGAATATTTTGTCCTGTTTCTTTGATAAACAACTTAGGACCATAGTAAGCATGACTCTTATCAGAGAGGCTCTAAGCTGGACATTAGGAGAAGGACATTCTGTATGTGCTTTACATTTTTGTTTTGTTGTTGTTGTTTGTTTTTTGAGACCGTCTCAACTCTGTCGCCCATGCTGGAGTACAGAGGTGCGATCTCAGTTCACTGCAGCCTCTGCCTCCCAAGTTCAGGTGATTCTCATGCTTCAGCCGCCCAAGTAGCTGGGATTACAGGTGTGTGCTGCCACCACGCCCAGCTAATATTTGTATTTGTAGTAGAAACTGGGTTTTGCCATGTTGACCATGCTGATCTTGAACTACTGGCCTCAAGTGATCTGCCTGTGTCAGCCTCCCAAAGTGCTGGGATTACAGGCTTGAGCCACCACACCTGGTATGTGCTCTGTTTTTTACTATAGTCTTGGCTGTACTCATACTTGGAAATACAATTCAAGGAGAGAATAGTGAATTTTTTAAAAAATAATGCCTTCACAATTCAGAAGAATGTATACTTTTTATAGAATAGACTGAGAATTGGCAACCCTCAAGTCCTCAATGACTACTGTCCTCACTTTTTAAGTCATTGAATTTTCTTCTTTGAGCCTTGTTGTCTTTACCTAGAAATAGCATGTATAGGATTAGAATCATGTTCTTCTTAAGACTGGATGGGAGCATAGTGATGTCTTTGTTTGTTTGTTTGTTTTAAACAACAGAATCTCACTCTGTTGCCCTGGCTGCAGTGCAGTGGCACGATCTCAGCTTACTGCAAACTCCACCTACTGGGTTCAAGCAATTCTCCTGCCTTAGCAGTCTCCCAAGTAGCTAGGATTATAGGTGTGCGCCACCACACCCAGCTAATTTTTGTATTTTTAGTAGAGACAGGGTTTCACCATGTTAGCCAGGCTAGTCTCAAACTCCTGACCTCAAGTGATCTGCCCACCTCAGCCTCTCAAAGTGCTGGGATTACAGGCGTGAGCCACCGCATCTGGGTATAGTGCTGTCTTCTAATTAACGTATTTTACGATTGAGAAAGGTGGAAGACCTGGCTCATAGTCCTAAGACCTAGTTACTGACAGATCTGCATTCTGAAGTCTTGATCTAGAAAGCTCCAATTATTCCTGCTGAACTTTCATTTTAAAATTTACCAGTTTTATGATTGCTTTCTTTTTCTCATTGAAACATGTTTTTCTCAAACTAAATTTTATAATGTGTATCTCCTGGAAAAGAAAATTATTTTCCATTCAAAATGAGAAAATAACAAAATAATAGGAATCCTTATGCTGTGATTTCTAGTTGGGGACCTTGTTGTACATTTTTCCGCAATAGAGACGTCAGTACAGGATTGAAGCTGTGTGTGTCTTTGTACGTGTTCAAGTACACTCATGCCGTCCCAGGCACACACACAAAGAAAGTTGGGGAAGAAAGCACTAGCCAACTTAGAGTTGAGTAGAATCAGAAAAAGTTTTCTATTAGAAAATATATCTCTTCTTTGTCAGCCCTGGTACCTGAAACAAACTGTAATCGTACCTGTGGGTTAAAACAAATGAGGAAAATGTTGAGGCACAGATGTTAATTTGAAGAAAATATTACAAGCATTGTTTTTCCTACATCTTCCATTTTTCTTGTCATTTCCAGTGACGACTCCTTTTTTCAGTTCTCTTTCATTTTATATGTTCTCATGATGCAGGATCTTACGTTTCACTCTTGCCATGTAGTTCTGCTTCTCTTTATACTTAAGCTAATTTAGAAGTACCCTATTCTTGCTGTCTCCTTTTTCTTCATCTTCATTATGATACATTTTCCTAATAAGGTCGCCAGTGACTTCCTGGTTAAAACATTTAATAGGTGTTTCTCAAGCCCCATCTTAATTGTGTGAGGGTTGGTGTCCGTTATTCTCCTCAAAATTCTCTATAAGTAGCACCAGGCTTTCTTGGTTTCCTTTCTACATTTCGGGCTTTTGTTTTATTAGCTCTTCTTACTCTACCTTTATCTATTAAATGTACTCTTGAAAGGTCTCAGTCCACTTGTTTTCTTTCTTTTCTTTTTATTTTTTGGAGACAGGGTCTCACTCTGTCATCCAGGCTGGAGTGCAGTGGCACAATCAGCTCACTGAAACTTCAAACTCCTGGGCTCAATCAATTCTCCCACCTCAGCCTCCGGAGTAGCTGAGACTACAGGTGTGCACCACCAAGCATTTTAAATTTTTAAAATTTTTTTGTAGAAACTGATCTAAAACTCCTGGCCTCAAGCAGTCTTCCTGCTTCAGCCTCCCAGAGTTCTGAAATTACAGGTGTGAGCCACTGGGCTCAGCCAGTCCACTTATTTTCTTACTCTGTACACTCGGAGTGGTTTCATTCAGGTTTTTCTGTATATTGCCTGATCTTCCAAATCTAGACTGAATCTGTCTAACTTTGTATATCATTGTATATTTTATATCTGTCTGTATCTCTTAGCTATCTGCTTAATCCCTGGGGCCCACTGATTGATTAAATGGGAAATCTACAGGTATCTCCCATTCAGCATGTGCAGAAGTGAATTCATCATCTCTCCTCCTTCCTCCAAACTTGATCCCCATCTTATCTCCTAGCTTACTCTGCCAGTGATCAGTCACTATAGCATTATTGACACTGCAGTATCATACCACAACCTAGTGTTTTAATGCATTTCTCCTTCCTCCTCCTCTGCTTCTCATATTCTCTAGTAAAATGCATGTGTCTGAGAGTTATCCAAGAATTAGAAACCAAAAGGGAAAAAAATGGAAGGAATTTAAGACATTAAAAGGGAGAACATACACTATAGCATCTGCATAATTCTAGATATTGGTATTCTTCATATAGTTCATCACTATCTTGGTAAGAGTATGTGAAGAAGCATCTTGATTATGAGGTTATTGTAGATTCCTTGGCATAAATATTTGGTAGACATGGGAAAGGAAAATGAAACATTTGTCAGTTAAGTTCTTATGACTCAGTTTAGTTCATTTCCAGTATGAAAATCATTCTTTTAATGTAATGACCATTTTGCCTATAAGCAGACCTTGAGATTAAATACATTTATTAAAACATGAATGGTTTTCCTAAGAAAATATGACACAAATCTGTTTTACAACTTTTTTTTTTTTTTGAGACAGAATCTCGCTGCATTGCTCAGGCTGAAGTGCCGTGGCACATTCTCAGCTCACTACGACCTCCGCCTCCCAGGTTCAAGTGTTTCTTTTGCCTCAGCCTCCCAAGTAGCTGGGACTAGGGACCTGCCACCATGCCTAGCTAAATTTTTTTATATTTTTAGTAGAGACAAAGCTTTACTATGTTGGCCAGGCTGGTCTTGAACTCCTGCCCTCGTGATCTCCCCACCTTGGCCTCCCAAAGTGCAGGGATTACAGGTGTGAGCCACCGCACCCAGACCTCTTTTACAACTTTTTGACTTTTTGATTTACATCATAGACATATGGTTTGTTTCTTTTTATTGCTGATCTTCACTATATTGAAGATCAGAAATATTGGTCTTCACTATATTGAAGAGCAATATATTGCTGATCTGAAATATATTGAAGAGGGAAGATTTAACAGTAGTTTATATCTTGTTAATATTTACCTTTTTCATATTGTTTTCTAATTTAAAATAAATTTGGTTGTAGTTTTTAAATTTAATTTGTCTTGATTTCAGAATCCTTTTCTATTTATATGAAGCTAGGCTTAGTACAGTTGCCAAAAACTGCAGCATTTGTAAATGCTGTACATTTGATAGAAGTTGCCCTAAAGACAATTAAAAGGTAACACTCATGTAAGTTGGTAGCTTCATTTAACTATTTTACTTCAAGTATACAGAATTTGCATAATGCTATGCTTTATTCATTCTGTCTGCAGAGGTTCTAATGGAAAGAATGTATCAATCAAAG